GGTCACGTGATGGGGTGTGCACAGACTGGACGTCCAGACGCCTCAGTCACGTGATTTAATCACGACACTGCTGACAGCTGTCGGCACGAGAGACTCACGAAAACGTCACGGGCTCAAACACGGCCGAGATTCGCGGCGGGATGGATTTTCAGATTAAATTACGGCCGGTCATGGCTGGGCGTGTCCACATGTCGCCGGAAAATGACATGCAATGGACGTAACCCGTCCTGGTACTCTATAAAATCAGCAACCCGACATAGGCCCGCCGTACGAGATGTGATTGAAACCGATCCATTCAGGAGATGGCATTCATATGTTAATGCTTCCCCGTTTCAGTGATTTAGCATGATAAAAGTCTCTAGCTGGAACACCCAGTGCAGCTCTGAATTCTGGAGAGTTAATTTTGATAGCTCACGCACTGAACTCAGGCTGCGGGGGTTGGGGAGGGGCGGTCCACTGATTGCAGAAACATTCTGATTTCAGAGTGCGACAGGCTGCGTCTCGCCAAATGAGAGCCGGGTCATTAGAGTCGTATGGCGCTACCTCGTTGGAGCACAGAAGTCTGCTCGAAGGCAGCGCTTCAGGCTTTGTCCCATAGTATCAGGGACAGTGCAGGGATACGCAGATGCTGATTTGGGGCGTTTTGGGCATAACCGGGAAGGCAAGCTACGTGGCATCATATTTCTATTTAAAATAGACGAATACGTTCTGTAGCCGACTCGTCGCGTTATTTTTACATTTCTCTTTAAATTTATATACTTGTCCGTATTCGATTCGTGGCGCTGTATGCGTCTTTCTCCGTACCGTTTTCATCGTTTGGGCGGCACCTGTCTGTCCCCTACCCGCCTGTCTCCGCAGTCCCCCAGATGTGGAGCTCAGGTGCGGCGTCCCACTCATGTGTCGCACGCACACACTCACACACTCGCCTGTCCATCCGCCGCAGCCACACGCACCTGTCCCCCTCCTCTACCGCGCACCCTCCCCTCCCCTCTCTCCAGCCGGCACGTGCCGCGTGACGAAGCGCACCGACGCACGCCAGAGAGCACACGATCAAGAGCCGGCGCAGGTAGTTTATTTTCGTCGGTATTATTTATTGCCACGGATACCGTCAGGGTTGTAATTTATTGCCGTTTTTAGCTGTGAAGGTCATTCATTAGTGTTAGTCGCCGTCTCTTCCCATACGACCGGACACTTTTGGACGGCGAGGTCCACCGCAAATGACCTTCCCGGCGTGAGCTTTGCTTGTCGTGACGGACTTCTGAGGACATTTTTCGGTCTCGTCTCTCGCCGGACCGTCTCCTTTGTAACCGAGCTGGGCTATTTTCAGACGTGTGACATGCCGCCGCTCGCACGACAGCGGGCGTGTGAGCGGGATCGATGGATGGCTCAGAGTGCGTTCAGTGGGTCGCTGCTCGGCTGGACGCGCTATTTGGCGAGCTCAGAGCTCGTTCGTGTTTTGTTGTTGTCACGTGGCCGCCGATACGGCCAGTGATTACGAGGTCGCGCGTTCGATTCCGCTCGGCGATGCATGTTTTATCGCGGCTGGGCTCCTGTCTGCGCGCGAGATTGAGCCCTCAACACCTCGGCTGAAGCTGTTTGTCGGCCCAGACGCTAATGAATAATCGAACAGCGCGCCGGCCCAGACGCGGTGTCTGCATTCCGCGCCGCCGGATCGCGGACAGGCCCGGCCGGCAGCGCGCGCCGAGCGACGCTTCCGGCGCGGCTGAGGTGTTCGCGGCGAAATCGGCGCGTTCCTGGGCGTGCGGCGAAAGCGGTGTCGGCGCGGCGGCGGCGGCGGCGGGTGCGTTCGTTGACCGCGGCCCTGTCTCTGTCCCTCCCTACGCGAAAGCCCCAGCAGAGCAGGCATACAGATGACTGCGACTCCGACCTATCAGCCCGCGTCTGACAGGACGGGACGCACGCAGCGCACCAGCTCGTCTCGTGGGCACCGCAGAGAAAATACCGACGTGAGCTGAATAAGGAGGTTGAGACAAGTTCGGCGAACCAGTTTAGTGACTGCTCCAGTAGTTTGGGCTTGACTGTCCCGAAACCAAACTTCATATCCAGACGGGCTGGTGGTTGTGCTCCGCTGATAACTTTTCTACGGCCATGTAGCCTGACAAAACTGATGTTGGTGCATTCATTCAGAACTAGATTCAAACATGCAGATATCCCTTGCACAGATGACTGTGCACTTGTGGATGCCTTTGGCCCGATCGCTGCATATAGGTCTCAGCCTACCTCTACCCTCTCCGTGGCTCCGACGTTCTTGTCACGTTCCTCTCACTCCGTCACCTCCATTGCCGGTGAGCACTGTCACACAGCACACTCGGTCCGATTCTGCCGCATTGCACCTGTTCAGTGTTTATCGGCCCCGCTCGGCGGCGAGCTTGTCGCTTGGCCCGGTTCCGGTGTCGGCTCGTCAGACACAATAAACACCGCTTCCGCCGCCGGTGCGCCGTTTTTGTCACGGCCGCGCCGCGTCTGTAATTTGCCGGAAAGTTCGGTGCTCGGAAAGTAGCGTTGGCCGGGGTCGGGTCCGTGTGTAGTCGTGAGCCGTGCTGGGGCTCCGTCCGTGAGCCGTGTCCCGTACCGGGGCTCAGTCCGTGAGCCGTGTCCCGTACCGGGGCTCTGTCCGTGAGCCGTGTCCCGTACCGGGGCTCCGTCCGTGAGCCGTGTCCGTACCGGGGCTCCGTCCGTGACCCGTGTCCCGTACCGGGGCTCCGTCCGTGAGCCGTGTCCCGTACCGGGTCTCCGTCCGTGAGCCGTGTCCCGTACCGGGGCTCCGTCCGTGAGCCGTGTCCCGTACCGGGGCTCCGTCCGTGAGCCGTGTACCGTACCGGGGCTCCGTCCGTGACCCGTGTACCGTACCGGGGCTCCGTCCGTGAGCCGTGTCCCGTACCGGGGCTCCGTCCGTGAGTCGTCCGCCGCCGGTCGAAGTTCCCGGCGCCACTGGGTCGGGTCAGGTGGCGCGTGGACGGCGCACGGGGCCGGTGCTGATGTCGAGCGGCGGCCGATGGCGCCAGCCCGGCCCGCCGCCGCCGGCAGTGGGAAGGTCAGGGCGATAAAGCCGGCCGTAAACCGGCCGCGACGGTCGTGTCCCGCCGGGCCATCGGGGAGAATCGAGTTCTGCATAGGGCTCCATTTCGGTCGGCGGGCGCTGGGGCAGGTCAGAAGGGTACAGACACGCCCTCTGCTGCCCATGGCGCCATTTCCAGCCCTCACCCCACCTCCCCCTCGGTTGGATGGTCCTTTTCGTCCTCTCACACCCCGTCCCGAACCATAAGTCCTGTCGTTATCCAACCGCGACCGCCTGCTAGTTACCTCGTGAAAGCAGCATTTTTACAGATTGGCTTTTTTCATCAGTCGTCGGCGTCGTGTCGGGCTTTTCGGGTTTAATTCCACGCCACCCGAGGTCGGCACGCCTGAGGAGCGTTGATCCGTCCGAACACCCTTCCTCGGCGACCGGGCAGACGGAGCGCCTCAATGGGACCGTGCTGGTGTGAAATTCGAATGTCGGCGAAAACGACCGGACACGGACGATTGTGGCGCGGGCGGCGGGCGGTGGAGCGGTGGGATTTTAGCGCCTAGTGGGTGTGAACTGGGGCGCGTCTGGTCGGATGGTCGTCCACCTGACGCCGATGGAGGGACGACCGAGGGCGGGATCGACTGTGATCCGCCGCCCACGGCTCGAAATAACCCGTCTGAACAGGGGAGGGTGGCGGCCAAACCACCTGTCTCCCTGTCTGTCCCTGAAACGGGCTGACCTCCGTCCGGTCTGAGGGTGGGCTCGCACGGGCTCACCTCCTGCCGGTCTGCTGTCTAAAAGGTCTATCGGCCGGTCCGGCTGTCTAAGGGGATCCGTCGACCGGTCGGCCCGCTGAGGGTGGGCTCACGCTGAGCAGCGTGCCGCCCCTCACCGGCGCGCCGCCAGTAGTTTGTTCGGCACTGTTTCTCGTCCGTCAATACCCGAGGTGGTTTGTTTACCGGCTGGGAGGTGTCATTGACGCTACCGGCGCCGGGGATAGGCCGGGGTGGTTCCTGGGAGGGTACCCCTGGGGGACGGTGGGGTGCGAGACTGTGCGTGTGAGCTACCTGGGAAAGGTGGCGCTGTTCATAGGATACCTGAACGTCATAGGTGTTTGGAAGATGTTATGTCAGCTTGAATAAAGCAGAACCTTTTTGTATGTGGTTTCATAAGGCTAATGCTGGTTGAAGCTCTACCATTGCATCGCTTGATTCACATCCGTTTATTCGCTTCATCTAACCTCTGCGCTAACTACACCACAGGAGCATAATGACCCAAATATCGTCCATGTCGGATAGCTAGACTGGTCAGTGCAGTGGTCACCCCTGGTCACCAGTTCTCCGACCCCGCCTTTGTCTGGTCCGACGTCTGCAATGAAACACGTCCGCGTCCATTACCGGCGCAGCTTCAGCGGGCCGGCACGTTCACGCGCCGCTGTGTTCGACCGGCAACTTTTCCATGAAGAACTTTGATCGCCGTCCCGGCCGCCGCCAACAGCTTCCACAAAGGCTGTGGAGCTCTGTCGGTGCAGCCTCCCCGGGCGGCAGACGGGCCGTCAACTTTTCCGACGTCAAAAATCACAAACTCAGCACATGTCGGTTCAAAACGCCAGCGCTGACAGCCGGGCCTCTTTGTGCAAGACGTCGATCAAATGAATATGCAGGGTGGTCGGCTGTTTGAATGCTAAGTCGGCCGACGTTCCCTTGTGGATATGGAATAATGGGATTGATATGGGGGTCTTTGGGGAGGACCGTGTTTCTGGTAATCTGCAAGTCATACTTGAGTATATTATCAGCATGATAAAGTGAGTTTGGATAGCCATCAATGGTAGAACACAATGTTGAATGAGTAAGTATGCACTAACCACTTAATGCGCATACACAGTCCGGCAATTGATGATATAACGATAGTCGTTATTGACCGGGTGGCTAAATAAATGTAATGTTAATTGCCCGTCGCTTCTCTTTTCCAGACATGTTACGAGATGGAGAAGTACCTGAAGGACGAGCCTAAGCTCAAGTCGTACAAGAAGCTGCCGTCCGAGCTGGACTCGGCGGCGGCGCGGTGGAAGTCGGAGCCGGAGCCGGACGACGGCGAGTACCTGTTCTCGTCGCGCGACTCGCTCGACTCGCTCAGCGTCAGCTCCGGCTCGTCGGCCAACTGGGAGACGGCCAGCGTCAAGACGGAGGAGCCCGAGTCCGAGAGCGACTCGGAGATGGAGGACGCCGCCGGCCGGCTGCTGGCCCACTCGCTCACGCCGCCCTCCAGTCCCGAGTGGCCGTCGGCGGCCCGGCTGGCCGGCCGCGGCACGCTCCAGGTGCGCTTCACGTCGCGCGCCGGCGGCCTCATCTCGTGCCTGCCGGGCCTGTCGCTCAAGGCGGGCCACGGCCGGCCGGCGCGCGCCGACTCCTCTCCAGATGGCAAGCGGCGGATACACAAGTGCCTCTTTTCCGGCTGCAAGAAGGTCTACACCAAGTCGTCCCACCTCAAGGCCCACCAGCGGACACACACAGGTGAGATCGCGACCGCCGAGGTAACCGCACCCTTCGGAGACCCTAAACTTGAGCACCAAGACAACCTGCGCACCCTCTTGCCGAGAGACGCTAAACCCCGTCAGGAGATCCTAAACCGTTCCGCCGAGACCTTAAACCAGCGCATTGAAGATCCTAAACTCCCATGCCGATAGGCCCTAAACCCTCGTGCCGAGAGACCCTAAACCGCTCCCACCGCGGCCCCAAACCGGCGCGTCACCGGGCGGGCCGCTGAGTTATCTTCTCCCAACAGCTCTCTGCGGTCGGGTCATATGGCACCATTACTCAACTCATAGCGGCGACGCGGCTATGGAAGGTTAGGACCCTGCCCGGGCGCCACTGAACGTGACCGGAGCAAAGGGAGACGGGGGTCGGAGACAGATAAATCACCCCGCCGACAGACGCGGGGCAGACCCTGACTAGGGGTGGTGCGAAGGGGAGTGTAGGAACGGGCGCGCCGCTGGCAGCAGAGCCGAGAGGCGCGAACGGCAGTCGTCGACTGCGACGGACGGCGAGTGGAGCAGAGAGTGGGCGAGAAGTGAGCTAAGGAATCCGTGCGGAGTGCCAACGGCTACGAGGATTATCCGATCACGCACTCCTTAACGCCGACATGGCCGCCGGCGAGTGGAGCGGAGAGCGAGCGAGAAGGGAGCCAGGGAAGCTGTGGGGAGTACCAACGGCTACAAGGATTCTATGGTCAGGCACACTAACGCCGGCACGGCAGGTGAGGCGTATCGAGCACGGCTCGGGGGTACGTACAGCGGAGTGCGGTTCCTTGGCGGCGACACCACGAGGATGGTTGCCCGGCGACTGACGCGGCGCCACCATGAGGATGGTTCCCCGGCGACTGACGCGCATCTATTCAGAGGCATATTAAGCGCACACACAATCGTAAAGGAAACCGGGGAGCCTGGTAGGCACGCTTTGAAGGGTCGTGCAACGCGGCACCCCAACCTGCGACGCGATACACACAAAACACCTGGTTCCGGCCACCCTACAACTCATGCACACACATCAGGTCCGCCGCCGACCCCTCGGCTACTCTGCAACTGCAGTGCGTCCGACGCCCCGGCTACTCCGCACTGCACATACATCAAGCCCGCTGCCGACGCCTCGGCTACTCTGCAACTCACGCACATACATACTCATGCACATGCATCAGGTCCGCCGCCGACGCCTCGGCACGCACATACATCAGGTCCGCCGCCGACGCCTCGGCACGCACATGCATCAGGTCCGCCGCCGACGCCTCGGCACGCACATGCATCAGGTCCGCCGCCGACGCCTCGGCACGCACATGCACCAGGTCCGCCGCCGACGCCTCGGCTACTCTGCAGTAGAGATGTCCTCGGATACAACTTTTCGGTATACCGATACCATACTGATACCAATTCGGTACTTGCTGTTTGATTCCTAATGTGTTCGGTATTTTGTTGGTATAATGCACCCTAGGTTGGTACTTGGTTTAGTATCGGTATTCCGATTTTCCGTAGTTGACGTCACTACTCTGCACCGCACATACATCAGGTCCGCCGCCGGCCGGCCGCTGGCTCAGCCCCGGCACCGCCACGTCACCGGACCGGCTGATGAGACAGTCAACGCCGGGGCAGCCGCGGGCCCGCCTGCCGGTACTGTCCGCGGGGCCACAGAGGCCCACAGTGGGGCCGCCACGGTCCTCAAACCAGGCGACAGCGGCGGGACGGGCCGCCCGCCGCAACCTGATACCAGCCGACGCCGCACGACCCGGCTCCCCCGCTGGTCCCCCGGCGGCCACGAGAGGCAGACGACTAACGAACACCCCGAACACGGTCACGTTCCATTAGTGGGTCGCGGCGCCCCCACGCCGGTCGACAGCGAGTCACTGGCGGCACTGTGCGGGGAGTATGGGGTCCAGTCACAGCTGACTCAGGACGGGAGCCGACCTTGGGGTGGAGGGAGTCCCTCGCCGCCCCGGTTCACACTAACTAAGGGTTCGACCCAAACTCACCACCAAGAGCCATGCCGCAATAACAGACCGGGCATCGCCAGCGGAACACACTGGGAACCTTTCCGCATGCGGCATGTGCCCGGATTCGCGGTCAAACCATTAACTGCTCAGCAGAGATCGAGAAAGGTTTGGGCAGCGGACGCTTAGCCTAAGACTTTTTCATTCCATTGGGTGTATTTGGCGTTTTTTAGGGGCCGTCCTACCCTACAAACGAGCCGACGCGAGTGGTTTCGGCCGCTGACAGCCAACTGAGGCGAACGCTTGGTGATAGTGGCGCGGGCAACGGGGGCCTAATCAACTCATAGCGGCGACGCGGCTATGGAAGGTTAGGACCCTGCCCGGGCGCCACTGAACGTGACCGGAGCAAAGGGAGACGGGGGTCGGAGACAGATAAATCACCCCGCCGACAGACGCGGGGCAGACCCTGACTAGGGGTGGTGCGAAGGGGAGTGTAGGAACGGGCGCGCCGCTGGCAGCAGAGCCGAGAGGCGCGAACGGCAGTCGTCGACTGCGACGGACGGCGAGTGGAGCAGAGAGTGGGCGAGAAGTTTCCCACCCACCCTCACCTATTTAATAGATGCGACTTCGAGATTCGTCAAACCTGCATATCCTTAATCCCGACCATATACCTCGTCGTTATCACTCCGTCGGTGCGTTTTTCTCGGAGATTACCGGGATTTCACGCGGGCCGTGTAAAAACCGCCGGGCAGGGGGAGCCGTATGATTCATTGGTGCGGCTTTTTGTTGGTCCAGACGGAGGTGCCGGCGGCGGCGAATGTTAGATTGGCCAGGATTGATGATGTCTCGCGGCTGAGCCGACGGTGCGCAGCCAACCCGCTCGGCGGCGACAATCGGACCGTGGCCGCTCCCGCGCTGCGGCTGTTGATAATAGCACCCCCACAGGGCTGGCTTACCAACCGCAGACACCATATATTGCCTGCGCTTTGTTGGGCATCGTGGATTCCATTTTCACTTTTCTGCTTAATTTGTATTTCAGTTTCAGCTTAGTTCTTGTAAATTTATTACCAAACGACAAAACCTACCGGCACATACGGCACAACTGTTCTCAATGACAGGTGCATGAGGATGAGTTCCTGCCAAAGTGATGCTTACGATGTCTGCTTTAGTTCTCTGTTCTTTACTATCTCGACTCATCGGCGCTCTGAACTGGCGTTCCGTCCGAACTCCGACACTAGCGCCGATTGCCTATAGGGCCGGCTGATGGCTGCCCGTGTAAACCCGTCACCCGGCGGCGGCTCGTGATGAAGTGACTCCCCCGCGGGAGTCGGGAGGCCTCCCCGTCGGCGGGACAGTTCTCCCCCGCTCCCCTCTGGCTCTGGTAAACAGTGGCGGCCGACCCGGGCAGAAATAGCCCCGGGGCACGCTGGGTCAGCGGCCGTTACCCCGACCCGTGCTCGCCCGGTTGCCCCGCGACATGTTGCGTAATCTGGTCGAGGAGAGTGTGTGGTGTTGGGAGGAATGTGCTGGTATGTCGGAGGCACGTGTCGACGTGCCAGACACTAACGCCGAGGGGAGATTACCTCCCTGTGGTTCCGAGACTCTCTCTCTCTCTCTCTCTCTCTCTCTCTCTCTCTCTCTCTCTCTCTCTCTCTCTCTCTCTCTCTCTCTCTCTCTCTCTCTCTCTCTCTCTCTCTCTCTCTCTCTCTCTCTCTCTCTCTCTCTCTCTCTCTCTCTCTCTCTCTCCCTCTCTCTGTCTCTGTCTCTGTCTATGTCTCTGTCTCTCTCTCCCTCCCTCTCCCCCTCTCTCTCTCTCTCTCCCTCTCCCTCTCCCTCTCCCTCTCCATACGTGTACCGCTGTCCTTCCAACCTTTGCTCATCAGTTTCCCATCAGTGTCCATATCCATCTTCTAAAGCTATCATCCCTTGTGAGTACATTTCATTGCTACTATATCACAAACGTCGCTGCATTTCGTTTGTCTTTCGATACTCGCGCTCGAAATCAAAAGAGAGCTCTCCTCACTTCTATCGTGCCTGAATCTCTACCGTTGGTTGGAAGTGGAACTCCTATTGTATTGGAATGCCGGGTCCCCCATTGTAAAAACGGACCCAACCGTAATCAAGTCTCTTTTAGATTCGGTATCCCAAGGTCCTTCGTAACCCCATTCGGACTCGGGCATTCAGACTTTTTTTGTCCCAACTGGATCATTATTTTTTTAGTTTCTCTGCCATTTGATTGCAGAATTATTTGATATACATGCTTTGCACCAAGTTTCTCGCGCTGGCTTTTTTTTTTACTACCTCACCTAACCTTGAGCGTTTCAATTTATGCTCGCCAATGCTACACAGGGCTACCTTGCTCATTGTTTGCTTTGCAAATGGTTGAAAAAAGAAAAACATGAAACAGAGTTGCACAAAATAACGCTTCCAGCTTTTATCCGTTCCTGTGTCGAAGTACCTACTTACGGTTTATCTTCTTATAAACGGTATAAACATGTGTTTGTTAGCGCCATTCCGTTTCCCTCAACGGTATACAGAGGTGTTTCATGTGTTCAGCCGTGTCAATTAATCCTGAACTGATTAGCCTGCGGTCGCAGCTGATTTCACTCGCTCAGCCTAATGGCTTTTGGAGAAAGCACGTTTGCTCGGCCAGTAACGTAAGATAAATTAACGACAGAAGCGTCTTATGAAATGCCCACAACCATAAAGGCGCATATTTGCAGCCGTCTATTATCTAATGCGAGGTCTTTGACACCATTAATTTGCATTATTGTATTGCTCCCGCCTATGCTTCGTCTATTTCTATCTTGCTCTTCTATGCTTAGTTCTTATTCCTCGCATACTTCCTGCTAAATTCCTCAAAATATAAATGGTTATGTCGCTACCTGCTAGCTTACTCCTTCCCTCTGTGTTGTGTTATTGTGGCGCTAATTTTGTCACGCTCTGTCGCGGTGCCTTTCACAGTGTTTGTTGACACTGAATGACACGATGAGCTAACCCACGTCATCGTCTGTCGCCCCTCCCCTCCTTCTTCCCC